CAGCTTTTTTCTTTTTGCTTATGTGGTGCTGAGGAATCGAACCCAGGGCCTCATGCATGCAAGGCAAGCACTCTACCACTGAGCCACCTTCCCAGCCCTAAAAGCATTTGTTTTTTATCACAGTATTGAATGGAATATCTTGGGATGGGGGAGGGGTGGTTGTTGTTTTATTTTTGGTCAGTCCTGTGGCTTAAACTAAGGGCCAGAGGTCTTTTGCTGAAGGCTAGTGCTCTACCACTTTGAGCCACAGTGCCACTTCCAGTTTCCTGGTCATTAATTGGAGATAAAAGTCTCAGGGACTTTTCTGGAGCTGGCTTTGAACCACAGTCTGCAACGACCTCCGTTTCCTGAGTAGCTAGGATTACAGGCATGAGCCACCCACACTCAGCTGGGTTTTTTTTTTTAATTTGTTTTTGCTTTTTAATAAAAGATCAGAGGCCAGCAGTGTAGCTCAGAAGTAGAACATGTGCCTAGCATATGCAAAGCTCTGGGATAAATCCCCAGCACCACAAAAAGAAATAAAAATCAGACGTAATAGCAAGTAGACTGAGGAGTAAACCATCCCCCAAGGGAACGCCTTACTCCTTATGTCCTAGGATGTACCCTAGACCCCACCAGACACCACCCCTCTACTCCTGTATCCACGCCACAGCCTCTGGGGACCTTGTCCTCACGCCCTTGCTTCTCATTCTAACCTCCTGATTCCTAGATTTCATAACTTACTACTGTTTTTTAACTTCTGCCAGAGTTATCTGCCCGGTTATTGCAATATTAGTTTAACGCATAAAAAGCATTTTTTTGTGTGTGAGAACATGACAAAAATGATACTCTTATTTGGAAAAGATTTGTGTGTGTGTATGCTGAAGCTTGGCACTCTGCCACTTGAACCACATCTCTTTCCAGCTTTTTGTTGGTTAGTTGGAGAAAGTGTCATAGACTTTTTCTGCCGGGGCTGGCTTTGTTTCTCAGTCCTTGGGTCTCAGCCCCCTGAGTAGCTGGGATCACAGGTATGAGCCACCAGTGCCTTGCTGGAAAGATTTCTTTAAGAGGAGGTGAGCATAGAGGAGTGGTATTCATCTCTACACAGAACTGTCCCGTGGGATGAATGGGGTGATGGTCTGGAAGTGAGACCAGCTGGTGGGGCAGTGGTGAGCCCGAGGCCAGAGCCAAGGGGCATGAAACTGGGTGCGTGGGAGCATCTGGGCTGGGGTGGCAGGCACCCTTACATGGGGGTGCCGATGGCTGTGGGTTCTGGCGTCTCTGACTTGTGTTTTTCCCACCCTCTCAGAGCTTCTCTTCCTCCATGATGAAGGCCCCAATCCAGGTCATCCTGCTCCGGGCCTTGGCCTTCCTGACCTGCGCCTTCCTGCTGACCCTTGCACTGTATGGCCCCAGCGATCCCTTTACCCCAGGGGCTGCCCTGCCTCCGGCTCTGCCCCCTGGTGGCAATGGCTCAGCTGTGCCAGATAACAGCACTGCCACTGAGCCTGAGGGTTGGCGGCAGCTGCTGGGCCTGCTGCCAGAGCACATGGCCGACAAGCTGCTCGAGGCCTGGGCCTTTGGGCAGAGCCACCAGGTGGGCATCGTGGTGCTGGGCCTGCTTACCTGCCTGCTGGCTATGCTGCTGGCCGGCCGGATCAGGTGCGTGTGGGGCTGTGGGCATGCGTGGCTAGGGGTCTGCATGCTGTGACCAAGGCCCAGAGGCCTGGCTGGTGTGTGGAGCCCTGGGCAAGACAAGTCCCTGTCCTCTAAGGGCCAGGAGTTTGCCTGAGAGAGGGCCGTGGCCCTTAGCCAGCCCACCCCTTGCCCTCTGCAGCTGGGCGGTTGTTTGCAGGGTCAGGGTGATGGGAGCCACCTGCCCCTGGGCCATGGAGGCGAGGAAGGGCAGGCTCTGGACTTGCTTCCTTCTACAAGCAGCAGCAGGATCTCTAGGAGAGTTGTGCCCGTGTTCCACACCTCCTGAGGGAGCTATGCTTAGGAGAAGCACTGACAGGCTTAGAGCTGGGCAGAGTGAGTTGGAGGAGAGATGTAGTCCCCATCCCCTGAGCAGGTCCAGGTATAGATGGACAAGATTGGAAGGAGGGGAGGGATCCCATATGCCTCCGGGCACTCATCCCTGCTCCTATCTCCACCAGGCTCAGAAGAATTGACGCTTTCGCCACCTGCCTGTGGGCCCTGCTGCTGGGGCTGCACCTGGCTGGGCAGTACCTGCAGGCGGCCGCTCCCAGCTGGCTGGACACGCTCAAGTTCAGCACCACGTCCCTGTGCTGCCTGGTGGGCTTCACCGCGGCTGTGGCTACAAAGAAGGCAGCAGGCCCCAGGAGGTTCCGGCCCCGAAGGTCAGAGAAGCAGCAGTGACTGCGGGGGGGGGG